CAGACAACCTCTCGTCAATATGCGTTTTTTGCATTGCATAACTGCAAAAAACGCATAAAAATTCAATTTTATGAGTTTTGTACTGCAACGATGGCGCAAAATGTTTACTGTCAAGGCCCTGTTTATTTACAAGTGTTTGCATGTGTGTGTGTGTGTGTGTGTGTGTGTTTGTATGTGTGTGTCTGTGGATGCTGATTTTCGCTAGAGTTGCTTAACCCTGCAACCAGAGGAACTATGAAGCTGAAATTTTAGGAGGATGTTCCCTGTTTCTGTATTACAGTGGATGTTTTTAGCATGCATCGGTTGGGTAGAACTGCTTAAGTTGTCATCTAGCGCACTACTTTATTTATTTTGCGTCTCTTTTGTTTTTGTATAGATAAACGTAGAACCAAGAGCATCGAAAGCCTTGCGCAGACAACATGAGATATTGGTGATTGCCGAAGTGAATGAAGCACAACTTACGGATGCACGTTGGTATTTGGTGGTGCGAAAACATCAGCGCAGTCCTTATCGCTTGCCTCATTTTCGCATAAATTACCACCATTTACACATGTGGCAGGGACTAATGGGCTAAGTGGTGAAATAATCTGAAGTGCTTCAGGAACCGATGGCGTCATATTCAAGTTATCATCGCAGTGCACAACATAGAACAAATCCAGAAACATGAGCACTTCTAACATTACCTAAACTGAAACCAAAATGAGGTTAGTGTTGATTCGGGGTATTTCTTGGTTATCAGCATATCAGGTAGGAGAAAAAACATTTATCTTCTGTAATCAGGATTCACTTCACACTATTAACAGCTTCTTCAAAGAAATTAATGACGTGTTAACGATTTTACTGCTTTTTTTTGTAATGCCAAAATTGTACTATTAGTTGTAATCTTTTTAGCAGTAAGTTTTAAGCATTATTTTGTTAAATTTCCTCGAGCAAAGCACTAGTAGAAATAGCTCTGTTGTCTTCGCTGATGCCACAAACAAACCCTGTGCGATCCGTTCATTCTCTCCAATGGTGATTTCATACTGACATACGTTAGACAATCAAGCCTGCCATCAGCTTACTTGTGAGTAACCACGAAATATGGACCCATCAGCAATTTTGCTAACACGTGAGTACTGTTGGCAATTGCAATCACTTAGGCTACTTCCCGAGAGCCTCCACCTCGCATTAGAGAGAATACAGAGAGAAGGAAAGGGAGTGGGGAAAGATGTAGGAGAATTTGCCTTTTTGACTTTTGACTTTGCTTTTTGTGAATTTCATTTTTCTGACTGGGCTACGTTTCCCAAAATTCTACGTAGTTCGCAAATCTCATATTAATTCATTAAAATTATTACATACCGAATAGAAGAATTTTAGAGAAAACAAAAGACGAGTGCAAATACATACCCGGTTTCGTGAGAGAATTTGATGAGGTTTGTTGTACATCGAACTGTACTGATTCCCACCTCACCCCCCTCTACTCCTGCCTTCGGTGTATAAATACAACTTGAGCGTTGCATAGTTAAATTGGATCAAACATTGTAAACAAATGTTGTTAGCTATATGTAAAATCATCACCGCCTTTGCATCTTTATGAAAATTTAAGTGTACACTCGTCGCTGAAACGAATTCAACAAATGTGTTTGGGATAACAGTGCAAACTGTGATGCTGTATTTTAAGTGAGCATTTTTCTTTGAAATCTGTGTCTGAGTTCACTAATTACCTCCATTACCTCACTGTTGAGTTCCACAGTTCCGGAAGTGGTTACTGCGAGATATCCTTCCTTATGAGGAAGTGCGTAGGATTTTCAATTTCGAAATAAAGTGTTTTTCGGATTAAACTCTCAAAGTTTTGAGTTTGCAGTATTTTTGTAGTTATTTTAAATGGGCACATTTTCTTCTGTGTTGAGTTCACTAATTGTTGTGTTTCAGCCAGCGTAGGTAGAAAAAAAGTGTAGCGATTCAAAAAAGCAAAACACGCAGTTTGCCCAGATATGATGATTTTATAAACAATCTTTGCGTCTTGGGATAGAAGAATAAAGTACAATGAGATTTCTAATCTCATGTGGATTGTCGTCCTTTGCAGGGCGAATTCAGAGTTTTTTTCGTTCTTGCTGTATAATTTTAGCCAAAATCATGAGTTGAGATTTCCAATAACATTACTAATACAGATACCGAGTTGGTCTTGGTATTCTTGATAACGAGTAGAAGAAAGTGATTCGATCAATAAAACCAAAAGTTGACTTTAGGTTTGTGAAACCGCACATATCAAAGTTTGATTTCCTAAAGTTGTGCTTTTCTGAGTTTCGAAACTCTTAAAATATTAGGACAAGCTTTTGGGTTATTTAAACGTAAGAAAATGTTAGCTTGTCAAAACGCGTTTTTGATTTAAATAAAACGCATAAGTTAAATTTAGAAATTTCCAAAGCAATGAAAATCCGCTTAACCCTGAGGTGGTTGTGCTTTTTGCGACGCGTATGGTACTTGATTGAACAGAAAGCTGAAGTTCGTTTAGGTAGCAAGGAAGGGATTTATAGGTACATGGGTTGATGGATGTGTAAAAATTTCCAACCCAAGAGTGGGAAATCTTCCTTTGTTGCTGCATCTTTACGATACCATGAGATCCCGATCGATAATCCAAGCGA